TATTCCTCGACAGTAGACATTTATTTATTAAAAAACTTATCTCCGCATATCTGCATTTATACTTCACGCTGATATAACATAATATAGTGCAAAAAAAAAAAATGTACATTATAATATAATATAGTATTACGTATTTTCTTTTTAACTTTTACACGAAATGTTTTCTTTAATTGCCAACTATTATTACGCAATTCTAAGCAAAAAGAAATAATCACAATCAGATATCTCGTTCTAAAATTCAATCCTATTCAACGAAAACTTTTCGAGCGCGATTTCCAAAAATGTTCCGTTGCGAAAACACGATTCCTGGAACCTACAGCCGAGGTGAAAATTTATTAAGTCGATCCGCGTGAAAAAATGTCCGCTTGGTGAGCGAAATTGGAGGATATTATGTGGACATTATGAAAGGAAGCAGTAATACGTTCTAAACGAACTCTGAAAACCTCATAAACCGGACTTCTAACGGGGCAAACCGTGCTTTTTTTCCCATCGAGCCTGAAAAATCACAGTAATTTTCGAAATTACCAGATCCTCATTTACCTTCATTACGACACGAACTTCACGAGAGAAACAGAAACACAAAAGCAGGAAGTTTCCACGTTGGGCTAAAAGAACAGACGAACGTGGCAGAATTTTTGCTTTTGTGCCAATTCCTATTTCCAGCAAACTCCTAATTAATTTACCAACGATTTCTCCTCGCTCGAATAACGAAACAGAGAAGTAAGTATCGATGCATTTAGTATAAAAAAAAAAAAACAGTCGAATATCTGATAAGGTGATGTTGCAACGGTAATTCAAAGAAGACATTACATTTGCAAACTGAATTATACGATGTTTATGTGAATATTAAGCTCCTTTCTAATTTTCATAATTCCACTAAAATTAATCCATCCAATAATTTATACACAAGTAAAAATTGCATTTAGTAATCTAGCGGACATAAAATATAGTTCAAATTCATCGATTACACATTTTGCGATAGAAACAAGCGTGGAATCTGTGGGAATTACGTAAATTTAACAATTTCTATCCTAATCTATTGTAAAACTTATGCACGTTAGATCTCGTGAAAGTAAGTATTACACAATAATTCGAAAAAATGACTGCACAGAAGACGTGTTACGTTAGAAATTTATCCCCTTTCCTTACAATATTTCTCACACGATATCCTTTAATTTAGGTTAATGTCCATTAACGTATATCTCAAACTTTCGATTCTGAGCATAAAACAGTTCCAAAACGATAATCTCGCTGTTGTGGTAAACATCGTTATTTACAACAGAAGTAATAAATTTCGCAACAAACGAAGTATAGAAGAAGGGATAATCCTTAAAAAAAAAAAAAAAAAAAAAAAACCCCCCTTTTTTTTTATGGTTAATCGGTGCACGCCAATCGTATGTGCATATATATGTATATATGTAACGAAATTGTAATTGTATTCCGCTTTTAACGAACTAACGGTAACGAAAAGGAAATAGATTACATAGTTTGGAATTTTCACTTGGCAGAACTTTCAATTGCTAAATTTCACCAGTTACCAAGGAAACTGGAGGACTTCGGTATATCGAAGGCTTTAAGAAAACTTTTCTATATAATTCTCTGGAAAGTAAGTGAAACACACTTTATGTGACTATTTTCTCTTCAAACCTATCGTCAATTGTATTAGCGATTGTGAAAGTGAGATAATAAGCTGTATATTTTTTGTCTCGAGATATCTATAGAGACTAATTCCTTCGGGAAATATATTAAAAAATAGTTTCTCGTTGTGTAACGAAATATTTATTAGAAATTTCGCTGACCGCTTCCATAATATTGTGAGAGACGACCCACATAATGATTGAAAAAAATGGTTCATGAGTTCATACTACAACTCTAGATTGGCTAAAATTAAATTACAATTAAATCTGATATTAGCACAGTGAATTATTAAAAATAAACCAACGAAAAAGATAGTATCTACAAAAATCACTCGAAGTGAAGCTCGCAAAATTTACTCTCACATCACAAATGTTACTAAAAAAAACTGATACACAATTCTATTAATGAAAATAACAAAATTGTTAAATTATCCAGTCTATCTAATTTTCGTGCCACTAAGTAGAGAAAAATATAAAGGTTCTTAAACAAGAAGAACCCATTTTCTTAAAAATCTGATACTAACATTACAAGCTATTAAAAATAAATGACCAAAAAACAGAATACAAAGTGATAAAGATTTCTCGAAGTGAAACACTTGAAATTTATCCTCTCCTTACAAGTATTATCTACTAAACTAAACGAAACCACAATTCAATTAATAAAAATAACAAAATTGTTAAATTGTCCACTCTATCTAATTTTCAAACCATTAAGTAAAGAAGAAGATAGGGATTCCTAATCAAGAAAAACATAAATTAAAAATAAGTGATCAAAAAACAGAATATAAAGTGATAAAAATTACTCAAAGTGAAACACAGGAAAATCCTCACATCAACTATTACTAAACTAAACAAAGCCACAATCCTATTATCAAAATCCACAAAATTGTCCATTACCATTAAGTAAACCAAAAGAAAAATATAAATTCATAAACACGAAAAAATCCACATTTCCATAAATTCGCTCTTTACCTGGTTCCCATTCCCACGCATCCAATTAATCCCCGTCTCCAGCCCAACTTCCAAAAACAGCGGCAGGTACATACCGCGCGGCTAGGAAAACCAACGTAAACGTACATAAAGTATACATAAATCGACCGATCCAGTCGGAAGATAGACCGATCACGCAGAGTTAATTGGCCACGCAGGCCGTGTAACACGGTGTGTCAAAAAACGCTCTTCGAGCCATCCGCGAGGAAAGTTCCTCGATGATATTCGAAAGGCGCGACGAGAAAAAAGGATTGATTTTGCGGAAACAGGTGGAGAAAGTTCACCGCAAGGAAGAAGTGCGTTTCCACGGAACCGCTCAAAAATAAAATAGTTACTCCTCTAAGTCAATTATCGGTTATTACAACAATTTTCCCCGTGTACCACAAAATCGTTCTCAACAAACGATATTCAACCAATATTACACCGTACAGGATTAAGCAGCGAACCATTAACGAGATTTGCGATTAAATCGAGAACAGTTTTCGTTTAAGCGATCCAGCTACTTGGTGGCTGCTGCGAAAGGTAAAAGTAGCCGAGCTCTAACTCACGATGCATACAAATATGGAAGTCGGAGAAAAGAGGGTAATGACGCGGTAACAAGGCGAACGTTCATTATGATAATTGCTGATAGTTCGCGGAGAATCATTCAGGATGCAAAGTATCGATCGTGCATGGCGATTAATACTGTTCCTACAGCGAGCACGAGGGCAAATGGAATGTGTAAAATAGGCGGAATTCAATTCTGAGAAGATTGCTTGTTCCTGTAATTTCTTTTCTCTCTCTCTCTCTCTCTCTCTCTCTCTCTCTCTCTCTTTTTGTTTATTGCGAGAGAAGTGCGTTTGAAGGTTGTGCATAAGGAAATGGGAAGTGGCTCGTTTGGATATGTACCGGTAAACG